TCATTAAAGACAATGTGTGAATTTCTATTGATTTCAGTGAGCTTATGGGCTGTCCCGCTGCGGGCGTGCTCCAAGGCTTTGCTCCGCGTCTCCCTGGTCTGCTCCCCCCCCAGCAGACCAGAGAGAGGGGGAGCAGCTTTTCTTGCCCCGGAGGACGGGGGCGGCGGGACTGCAGCACATCTGGGCGTCCCGCCGCTCCCGTCCTCTGGGGCGAGAAAAGCCCCGTTCGTAACTGCGGATCTGATATAAGTCGGATCCGCGTAACTCGGGGACTGCCTGTACCTCAAAGCCTCCACTGACAAGAGACAATGCTAAATGAAAAGCTAATTCAGGCACCCACAAGATTCATGGCATCTGACACCCCAGAGGGAAGGAGAAAGAAATAACTCTGAAGTCTAAATGAAGTAGTAAACTTATGCTTAAATATTCCATCCCAGAATATATCGGCCCTGTGCTCTCCTATAGGATAGTAATGATTCCCTCTGAAGTCAACAGAGATTTCTTGTATCAACTGGAAGAAGAGCTAAGGCCAAACTGAACGTTAGGTTTTCAGTTTTTACTCAGTCAGTGGGAGTTTTCACTGGGTTACGATTATTTAAAAACAGAACAAAGACATCATGATTTGGTTCAATAACTAGTTTTCAAGAACATCACCTGTCATTGCAAGAATGTTCTGCAGTACATTTCAGGCAGTTCAGACAAGCATGAGCACATTGCTCCATTCAGGTAGAGGAGACTTCCTCCACTGGCAAACATCAAAGTGATTCAGTCAGAGGAAGGAAGAAATGTTAAAAAGACTCAAACATGCACATACCTGCTCAATGCAAGACTGTCACGTTGGTGAGCAGCCAGTCACAGCCCTACTTGACAATTTAATTCTCCACTCCCTGCTTTACCTGAAACACATTGCTCCCTTCTTTCTTTTATGTCTTTCAGAGCTAGGGGGCAACGAAGTATCAATATCTAAAGGGACAAGAAGTACCATCAAGAGAATCCTAGTGAAAGAAAATGGTCATGCTGCCCTCCCAATCCCAATAGTGAGTGGAAAGAGGAGAGAGAGCAAAAGTTTCCTTCTTCCCCATGTAAGAGAAAAGAAAAAGGAGGAGCAATACAAACAGAGGAGCACACTGAACTCATCTCAGCAGTCATGGACAGGGAGTTTATATTTACTAGATGTCTGTCAACCAAGGAAATACATAAGATTGGATTTTCCCATAATGTAAGAAGAAAGAAACTTGAGGTATTCCTTTTCAGCAAGGAGGAATGTTGCACTTAAAGCCACTGACACTACACCACAACCTTCCCTTTGTCCCTCTGATTTACTGAATGTGTTATTTCTTTACAATTTATTTCATAGTAGACTGATGGCCATATCATATATCATATTTACCACCGACACTTTTGATAGCTGTCTCAGCAGACACAAGTAACTGAATATGCACAGATAATAAACAACCCTCTTATCCTTAGACTTTGTCCATATTACATTTTTCTTACATTACTGCACTGTTACTATAAAAATGGTGCAAATCTCTCTAGAAAATAACTTCCTGAAGTTTAAGAGTTGAAAATTGACTCATTTGACTCACTTCCAAAATCTAAGACATGAGCTATTTTTAAAGTTTATTAATGTGCATATATTTAAGCCATTAATACTGTTAGTCATATCCATTTCTATTTGCCCTGTGATAAGAACATAAGAATGTCCATACTGGGTCAGACCAAAAATCCATTGAGCTCAGTATCCGGTCTTCCAACAGTGTCCTATGCCATGTGCCCCAGAGGGAATGAACAAAACAGGTAATCATCAAACAATCAATTCCCTGTCACTCATTCCCAGTTTCTGATATATTTCTAATCACATTAATTTGTCATAAAATAATTTTCTAATATTGTGATGTATAATTGATTTTGTGTGGACTGCTTTCATTGGAGAATGAGTTGCAAGTTAAGTCAGCAATAGAGAACTGAAAAGCTATTCTTCATCAAAAGGACTCACCAATAGCTCAGCCAGTTGTGTGATCTAATATTTCATTGATTGAGCCATAAGCAGGAATTTACTCTCCAAATTTGCCTCCGGATCACCCAACCAGGTCTTGGGAAGCCACAGGAAGAGAGCTTTCTATGGCAGAACATCAGAAATCTACAGAAAATCTATTCTGCATGTCCACAGACTACCCAAAGTTTGCAGGAGAAGTACACCTCTCCTGAGTATCTCCTAAAATGTACAAGATAGGAGATCCTACCAAAGCCATATTGCTCATCAGCAACAGACGCCTTTTCCAGTTCCCATTGACCACTGCCTCACTTCTGTTTCCCCCATCCTCAATCAGTGTTCCCCTTCTCCAGTGTCCTATCCATGTTTTCAACTTCATAGCCTTAAGCCTATGACATGTGTGTTTGATGTGCTTACATTTTTTTATGTATATAAATTTTGTAAATGTAACAAATTCTCTGCTAGTGTCATTTCATTTAACTCAATGAAATGACGCCGATTTACACAAGCTGACAACCCAGTTCTCTATTTTAAAATGTTGTAGAAATTTAGAAATATAAATGTTCTGCCTTTAAAGTTTCCTTGCATTCTAAATGATTGCTTATTTTAGTGGTGTGTCTAATTGTTTATTTTGTTTCTCACTGCATTTATAAAGCTTATAGAGGAATCTTAAAGCATATGAGATATTTGGGCAGCCACGCAGACCAAAAACAGGGGTTTTTTTATTGGAATATCAGACTAACATGAGCAAAAGAGGAGCAGAAGCTGGTGATCTCAAACAGTTGAAGAAGAGGGGAGTACACAGTTCTATAACAAAGTTCTACTATGAAAAAACGGAACCACCTCTATCTCACATCTGTGAATTTACAGTTCAAGAGATGGGAAGGGGCTGCCAGGCAGTAGCCCACCTTTTATGGCAGGTTCTTATGTGAGCCTAGATGATTTCCAGGAAGATACCAATATGCTGCTTCTGCATTTTGCTTCCACCCATATTTACAGGAGAAATCAGAACTATACTAACAGAAGAGTAAACAGATACGGGGTTCCACAGAAAAAGACATGAGTCAGTCCATTTCATGATACAGCTACCACCATGGAAACAGCCAATCCAGTTTAATTCCAATCTATTTATTTTATTTAATCATATATATTCCTACCCTTTCGTTTGTCTTATTCTGAACCAGTATTAAAAATGCTGTCAAAATAAAAACACCATATTCAGTTCTGCTCTTGAGTTATTCAGAATTTACACCAGTACTACACAGTACAGAATGTGAATAAGAGATCAAGATGTAGAATTTGTTGATGCACATTAAAGGTGTTTTAAAAAAGCCACTCTAAAATGCTAAAAATGAATATGACTATCTGTACAAAAGACTATAATTTGTTTCTGCTTAAAACAATATGGCTGTAATAGCTTTAAGAGATGGAAAGGAATAAGTATAAACTTTAATCCTAAATATTGACACATTGTAAAATTAGGTCAGAAAGATCTGAGTTCAGCTTTTGTAAAAACTATTGCTTAAAAAAACACTAAATTTTATAAAATTACTAGCCTCTGACACAAACAGATATTTTACTCTTCATGTGATGCTGTAGGGAATTAGTTATTAACCGAGACCTTCTGATGGATAGACAGATACGAAGATTTCTGCCTTGAATTTCTCAGAGGAAAAAACCATTGTTGATTGGCACAGATATTCAGCTGCATAAATTGTTTTTTACATTGACCTGAATTAATCTGCCTTTTGTGAGCGCTTATATTTTCTGTATTTGTTTAATCTTGTGGCCTTGGTAAACAAGGAATGCACAAAATGAGTCAATATATAAGAATTACCATCTATAATAAAATAAACAAGGTTACAAATAGTAACCTGAACAAACAGTTTCATTCATGTAAGGCTATGCATTAACCCAGATTTTCCACACAAATATAATCCCACACGATCTGTTTACTAGTTTGGGTCCAATCTTGTGATATTGCTATTGTTTTGGGGATGGGTTGTTTTGTTTTTTCGTTGGTTGGTTGGTTTTGTTTTACACCCACATTTCCCATGAGGATTTTGAGCATGCAAAGACTGCACAGTCAGAAACTATGAACTCTTCTAGTTTTTCAAATGTATCACAAATGTTAATTATTCCAATGTAATCCAGTATTAATATTGGATACAATATTTATTACAAATGCTATTATAATGTATTATTGCAATTACATAGCAATTTTAAAATTATTAATATATATTTCTAATGACAATCTATAAAACACAACAGTAGTAAATTATTTTTATCCTAGATAAATTCTACTGCACATGATACACTTTGCACATTGCAACCCAAGTCAAAAAAATCTCTGTGATAGCAACAGCAGTCTCTTTTAAAAACTCAGCTTTAAAGTACATAAATCTTCCTTTAGAATAGCTTCATTAAAACAACACCTCCCCCTCACAACATTTCATCTTTTTCCATGAAGGCAGTGTTCTAATTATATAACAACCATATAACAAAGCTCATTGTATAAATTATTGTCTTGGACTAGTTTATTATAAAGAAAAGCCTCAACTAATATAAACCCTAAATATGTAGCTAAGAATTTAGGATTAAAATCTGAAAACACATGAGACAAAAATACCAAGAAACATGACTTCAAGAAGACTGATTTCAGAAAACTAACGAGCAAAAAAATGCCAGACTAATATTAATCTAAACAACAGTAAGAGGCAAGTTACATTCTTTTATATGCAAAACTATCTTCAACATAAATTGCCCCCAACATTTATAACTGTTGTCAGTTCTCTTTTAACGGCAGATACTAAAAAAATACACTGAAATTGACAACCAAAGCACATAAATACTTCAAAGAAATTTTGTTTCAGAGTATTACTAAATACCATTTTTAATTAAATCTATTATCCATACTGACATCTATTCCCTTCTATTAGCAGTTAATTGTTAAAGTATATAATACACCAACATAAATATAGAAAGGAAACCAAAGAATACTTACCAAGTTATGATTAGTTGAATTAGAATCATCTTCTGGGAATGGGATGTAAACAGCTAAGGCCACACAATTGGCAAAAATAGACAATAGTATAAATATGTCAAATGGTCTGAAACATCTTGTTAAGGAATATATGGATTTTTAATATCTACACAATTCCAGTCTCATTCTGCTCTTGATTTCTACATTTTACACTCACATTTTAATTTTTAAATGTCTGATTTTTTCATGACAATCTTTTGAGTGATGACTTTGACAACCAAGTTTTCCTCGGCATCAATTATATCCCCAGAATCTATTGCTTTTTTTTTATCACAATGACATTAAAAGGCCCTCTTTTATGACAAGGAGCAGATCCACATTTATTCTGCCACATATTATTTTATATTAAAATCTGAGATTAACTCTAATCACACAATAATATTAAATCAATAAGTTGGCTATTGGACTATATAGTATACCTACAAATCTATGCACACACACCTCCCATTATCATTAATGGAAATTACATGTGTATATCAAGGGGAAAATAAATCACCTAGGGTGAAGATTGTAGTATGGGATGAAACAGAACTTTATCAGTTTTGCAGTGTGAGGGCTGGAAAGCTGTAGTGTGAGTATGCAGAAAGGTTCTGCACTCGTCTCACGTCTATAACTGCTGCATTCTGCATCAAATCTGCTTCAGTCAGGGCATGGAGATAATGGTTTAGATAATCAGAACCAATAACAGAGGCATGGTCACTTTCTGAGCAATTACATAGATTCAGCTACCATACACTTCCATGTAGACAGAAGATGTGCATGAATCTTAGTCCAAGGGCTGGAATAGCAACAAACAGGCAACCAATCACATCCCCGCTGTGAGCACAATTCCTCTTCCCCACACAAATAAAAAGCTTCTGGAGTTCATCCATACATAATTTATTTCCCCTGCCTATGCACTGAATTTTGGTAGAAAATAAGGATATTTCACTTATTTATTAGAGACCTATACCATCTTCAACTCCATGCACCATTCTCATTGATTTCTATCTGTGGGAATTTTGTATGAACATCATGGGCTGTATACCAAAAATGTCTCAATTGCCTTAGAGGTATATTCTCATTGGATGAAACTCAGTGCTGTGCAGAGAGCCAGCACAAGGCCTAGGCATAACTTTGAGCTAATTTTGCCAGCTGAAAATTCATCCATCCTGAGTAACAGACTTTATGTTCATAACTCCCATTAATGGTTGCTATTTAATATACAGGAGATCTCAACATTCCATGTAAGAACCTACATCTGTCTTAACCTGCATTTTCTTGCTAACCAGGCCCAAATTCTGCTCTCAGTTATTATACTCTGAATCCAGAGGTATTTAACAGAGTTGAACTCAGCCCAATAGAGACCAACTAATGGAGTTTATCTCACTTTATACCAGTGTAAATGAGAGCAGAATTTGGTCCATTAAATTTAATTTGTAATTAAATTATGTTTAAAAATAAACTTAAAAAAACATCTATATAAAAAGAGTCGTATTGGCCATTGTGAAATTTGTATAGCAACAGCTCTCAGGCTGGAGAGACTGAAGTACAGTAGTACAGTAGTACATTTATTTTTACATTTAACACTTCACTTGCTAGCAGAGTCATTTACTATTAAAGGGAAATTATCTAGGTTGACAGGCCAACATTTTATGGCCTCCCCAGAAAATGATGTTTTCTTTTTCAAAATGTTACTTGAGATTTATAAATATATATATATATTGTCTTCCAGAGCCATACTTAGGATTTACAGGGTCCTATGCAATACTATTAAACTGGTGCTCCTATACCTGATGGCAGCTGGGGGGTGGGGCAATTTTTTAAAGATGTGATTTTATAATATTCAGCAACATACTAATGAAATATTTTTAAATAAAATTTTAAACTAAGGGCCTACAACTAATAGTTCAGAAACTGACTGTATATACCAAAGGTTGTCAAATACCTGTTAAATAGCTTCATTATCACTTGAATGGCTCTTTCACAGGTTCAGTGTTCTGCTAATAAGTCTGAAAAGCTTTTTCACTCTTAAGTTAACTAGATCCTCTCCAGAGGAAGCAGAGCCACAGAATAGGGATAGGAAGAGGCCGATGGGTGGACATTAAGACCCAGTGGTGCCCCAAATTTTCAGGTGCCCTACACAACTGTGTATTCTGCATATGGGTTCTGCTATCAACTCTTCAAAAGAAATATTAAAATCCCAGTCACAAGCCATCACCACTGTACCAAGAAAAAACAACCAAAGCAAAACATACATGCCTTTGTGAATATATGCTAGCAACTCTGCTCTCTCATTTATGACTATATAGGGAACATATCCAAATATGTGTTGTGACTGTCAATATGTCTTAAAAGTTCAGCTGAATCATGTATTGCAGACTACTTGTATGTGCTCAGAGTGAATCTCCATCTTACCTCCTGTCTCTCTACTTCTCTGCGAAGTAAGCATTATTTTGAAAGGACTTCTATATTTGGGTCACTGGGCCTAGTGGTAATGCAGCAACTTGCTGTGAGGAAGATCTAGGCTTGACTTCTTGCTCCTTGGGCATATAGCCTTGGAGATACACAGGGCAATAGCCTGTGAGAAAGAAATACTTCATATTACTCAAGCAATTATTTATCTGCCAATTAGAAAGAAACATTGACAGGTTTTGTGCCATCAAGTCTTCCTTCATCAGTATGATCATGATTGCAACCTAGGGATTTGATGGAGGAATCTGAAGTAAAGGAAAGTATATGGAGGGAGCAATGGGGGAGGAATGAGGGAATAAGAGATGTCATTGTGGCTTCAACGTAGGTATAAAAAATTCACATGACAGGCGAGGAAGGAAGGGGCTATCTGGATTGCCAGATGCATCAGTCTGCCTGGGACAAAGTAAATAAGAAATGTATTTAATTTTCAAATATATAAATATATAACCAATATAACTATCTTTTACAAGGGCATGTTCAAAATATTCTCTAGGGATAAAATGATTTGAGAGTGTTTTTCCCAGAGCAAAATAGCTGGGGAACATATCAAACCTGCTACCCTGCTTTTCTTTGTACATTTATGTTTCAGATATTTAATTAGAAAAATGAAATTCTATGTGATGTTGACATAGATTAAGGGAGATGGTCTCATTTTGATCAGTAAGGACTTATGTATATAACTATCATTAAATCAATTAGTTTTACATATACATACAAGTATATCAATTTGTTATCTCCCCAACACTTAAAAATGTTTCCACTGTCAGGAACACTATTATTTTAAACAGAAAAGAAAACCTGAAACCTAAAATTTTGCAATACACCATTTAAATTAAAGAGTTCATACTTACACGTGTATATGAAAATTAATTTAATATTTTTAAAAAGTTAAAGACTGTGAGATTGCTACTTATTGCAAATAAAATACTAAATGTAACTTCACATCCAATACCATGTTACTTTACAACAAAAGAATCTAAATATTGTTCTGCTCCTATTCCAAGGCCTCATTGCTTTTTTGTGCTGTCCTGGATTGCATGGACATTCTCTTTGACACATTTGGAATACTGAAAGAACAGATGGTAAAAACAAAACTGCATCAAAAGGATACTTCCATTCTACAAGACTAATGCAGGCTCTTCGTATTGGGTTATTGAGGGATAAACAGAAAAGGGCACGGGGTGGCCGACTGTTAGATGTATTACCCTGTTTTTTGCTCTTGGCATATTGCTGGCGTTTTCTTTGGGACAGAGATCCTACAGGTTGGGTTGTGGTGGTGCTCATAGTTTGGGCAGCCTTGGCTTGTCTAGCAGCATCAATTGCAGCTTGCCAAGATAGAACAGTTTGCTTGGATGGTGCTGAACTGTTTGACTGAACAGTTGGTCCGTCACCAGGGAGAGGAATTCTGGTGCTACTTGCATAGTTTGCCTCTGCAGGAAAAAAGAAGTAATTTAGTTTTAGTTTTTTTACATTCAAATATAGACACAGTTTTCTAGATAGAAAGAATGGAGGCATTTATAAAAGTCCTGAGACTCAGATGTTTCCTTTATATACACACATACCTAAGAATAAGAAAAGTACAGGAATCAGTATTATAAACATCAGTTTAATAGGACTATCAAAATACATGCTGACAACAAAACACAGTTCATCCTGACCTCCACTTAAAGCATTTTACTGGAGTTTTCCAAATTGGATGACAGCTTTACACATCATCATACTTATAGCTAACAAATCCTATCTTTTTTGTGACTGACTTTGCTAAAACAGAACAGTGTTCACTATTTGCTCATCCTCATCAGTTTGGTAAAAAAAAATCCTAATAGTTTGGGGTATTTTGAATAATTTATTTTATAAATAATAGTCAACATTGTTTAAAACACTGTAAGAATTAAAAGTAGTCTTGTCAACAAATTAAATACTTTACTTTTCTGCATTCTTAACAAAAGGAAACTATATGGACACTTCTCTCCAATTAAAATTCCAACAGCCTTTGATGATAAACATTTCCAAGAGTCCGTATCCTCCACTTTGTAAATTACCACAGTGAAAACCCTCCAAAACCTTTTAAAGAGAAAGTAAGATACATGTTCAAAATAATAAACCCTTGAAATAACCCCATCTAGGTGGTCAATAGGGAAGGCAAAACAGCTCTACATAGCAAGGATCTTTGTCGTGCAAAGCATGACAGCAGCAAAATCTAGTGCCAATGGCACCTGTAAGAAAGCAATAACATCCTCAGCCCCCCCTGCAAGTTAACTCAAAACTTGAAGATGTCTGATGGGAAAAAAAGATAGAGGGTTAGCACAGGATTTGTGCTGGAAATTAGGAAAGAGAATGACACTGGGGTGATCTCCCAGGGCAGGAGATAGAAATATTTTCCCATGATCGTTCATCTGACATAAAACAGATAAAAGTTCCACTTGCAAAAGACTATACCACCATCTATCCACCCACCCTCGACAAGGCACTAAAAAACCTGCCCTATGCACATGTGGGCACCATGGAAATAGGGATAGCACTGGGCCTCAGCTTCTGCTCTACTCCCCTTGCTTAACTTCCTGCTGCTGCCTTTGAGTGCATGTGTGGAGAGGGGAAGGGAGATAAGCATGGGGGGGGGGGAGAAGGGATAATATTAAAATGGCTCCCTGGGTTGGCAGCAGGGAAGAGGTCACTCCTGGATTCTGCCCTCCAGTATTTCCTGCTGCTGCCCAAGTGGATCTCCCTTGGAGACCTGACACAAGAGAAGGGGAGAGAGCGCGAGGAGGTGGCCATCAGACAGCACAGGCACATCAACAGCTGGTCCATTGCTAGGTTACACAAGAGAGCGAGTGCCTGCCTCGGCTCACAGTGTGACACTGACGGTTTCACCTGCCTGGTTTTCCGAACAATTCCCTCGTTTTCCAGTGACCCCACATCCCCTCCGACGGCCCTCCTGCCGCCTCCCTTTTTGGGATGCCATGGGCACAACCCAACCACCCTCCCACCTCATCCCCCGTCTTTAAATCACGCTTTGAAAGTGAAACAAAGCCCCAGAGCCAGGGGCTCCCGGGGGAGCCCTAAGGCAGCGCCTGGCCTCCAGCCCGGCCACAAGCACAAACTTACTGTTAATGTCAGGAGGGAGGAATCATTGAAACCCAGCCCGGGAGGAAGCAGCAGCGCCTGAGCCGGTTTGCAAAGGAGCTTAACACACACGAGCCCCATGTGTCGTCTCTCCGCGCGCTCCTGGCCGCGGCGCCAGGGAGCTGACGCGGGGGGGT